AAATTACTTCTTGCCAGCCATCGAATATTTACAGTTTCTTTTTTTTTTTTATTTTTAATTGGATGTCACTACCTTTCACTTCTTTTCAGTTTGTTGCATACCTTGAATTTGATTAATATTCTTTAGTGTCGGAAAATGCATTTTCAATCTTCATAAGTTTAAATCTCCTTTGGATTTGGCTCCCTTATGTGATCTGGCCAATACATAAGATTTTTGTGCCTGGCCAGCTGATGTGAAATCATTGCTGGTTGGGTTATACTTTTCAGATATGTTTCTCTGTTAATATGAACTCTGTGTGAGCTGGTGTGAGCAATTTCAATAACATTTATTTAGAACACAATGGTATAATAATATACATAGTATAGCTTTTGTAATTTCTCTTCATTAACTGGACCTCCTTCTCTTGTTGAATGCACTTTATCAACTGGAGAAATCTCCAAGGTTTTCATAACAAATTCCTGTTGGCTTCTAAACATCTCTGTTCTTTATATGTTGTATTCTTTCAAAGCCCCTTCATGTGGAGGCTGTTTGAATATATGCTGATTCATATTTAGTTTCTCTTCTGCTATGTTTTTAATGTTTTTATCTTCTTAATGCATTTATCTTTAGGATCATTTTCATGGTTTCTTTATACTTCCACCCACCGTTTCACTGAATCACAAAACACCTCTTTAAGCTGGACTGGAGCTTATCCCATTGTTTTTCTTCTATATTTTGCCTTGGCTAGTTGAATAGCCCTTGGGGGGGAAGAAAAAATAAAAGCAATTTCAGGATATATTGTGGAATTCTGCTGAAGGAAGTGAACCAAAGTAGGAGCATCACAAGTGCAGTTTGCTCTAAATTTCCAAAACTGATCATTTCTTCCTCAGCATGATGCCCTGGACTTTGAGATAAAGCAGTTACTGGAAGGAAGTAATGGCAGGTAAAACTGAAAAAACAAGGGAGGTCTTATTTTCTCATAGGATGTACGAATTCTTGAGTGTCACTGTTTCACATCCATAAACTACTTTAAAAAGGAACAGCTTCATAAATATTTATTAACAGCATGTGGAATCACTTTGACAAATAATGATGCAAGCAAGTTTCATTATTTGGGATTCAGTAGAGGATATTCACTCCATTGCACTGCACATTCCCTAAGGCAACTAGGTTAGAAGCACAAGGGAACTTACAGCTAAATGCAATAAGAAGCCTTGGCTAGAAACTATTTGGCTAGGGCTGTTTTCATGGAAGGAAACAGGAAATGTTGTCAGCACAGTTGTCAGGGAAATGTGGTATAACATACCTGCCAGAACATCTCTTTGCAGACTCAATGATGCTCCACAAGTAATGCTAATAGTTTTCTTTATTCACCGTTCATTTTTGATTTCTGCAGTAGTAATCAAGTGGGAGAACAGTTATGTTTTTCTTATGTGTACAGCAAATAATCTGAATTTGATTAGGATGCTGTGTAGTATAATCTCTTTTGATTATCATAATTCCAACATTGCTTGCTTGCCCAGATAATCAAATAAGGTGCTTCACACCTTTTTTAACTACTGCTGGAAAAAATTTCTATTGTGAGTTTTGCATTTATTCTGTTTCAGAAGTAATTTAATCATATCAAAAATATGTTGTCGTTATGAACCATTCATGTATTGCCCAGGATTTTGGAAAAAAGTCTGACAGAGGTTTGGTTTTTTGGTGAATGTGGATGGGAAAACACTTTTCTCAAAGATTTAAGTCCTGCAAAATTCCATTTTCTTTATTAGAGTGTAAGCAGGGAAATTTAAGAGTAGCACAAATAGAGTATATTATCAGAAAGGGGAAGGAGTCTAAGATAGTGTTAAATGTTGGAGGCTGTTTCTTCTGTTGTGGAACTCTTCCTTTAAATAAATCCAGCAAAGGCAGAGTCTCAGATTAGGTAATTGTTCAGAGCTGTTCTGCCTTTATGACAAATATAACTGATAGATTAGATGCATTAGATACTTATTTAAGGTTAGGTCTTCTAAATCCTTTTTTCTGGAGTAAAATCAAGGATGAAGATAACAGGTTCCTTTCTCATGTGCTCTATTAAGTAGAAGGTAGTGGAATAACACTGAAACCATATGCGAGACTTCTGCTTAGAAAACATTTTCTGTTCTCTCATCTTCTAACTAATCCATTAACCATATTTGAGCATTTGTTTTTGCTCAGTGTTTGGTTCTGGTTTCCTTGCTTCCTACGTTTTCTTCAACTGGCTTTCTATCTCATTCTACTCCAACTGTAACTTCACCTTATTCTTCAGATATCAAGGGAGGGATACCTGTAGCTAATTTTTAGCTATTAACTCCTGCTGTTATTCCATTGTGAATAAGAAAGGGATGTAAATATAATGCATTTATGAACTGTCAGTGCATTATACCCCCCAGTTTCCTGGAATGTTCCCTACATAGCGCCGTTCTTCCTTCCCTACGTTAAGTATCTTCATTCATCACCTTCAGAGTTCCAAAACCCTCACATTTTTCAGGTAATATTTTGCTTATAACTTGGTGTTGCTCCTGTCTCATCTCTTAATCCAGTTATTTAGCTTGTGTTGTGATATAGATACTCTTGATTTAGATCACTTACACACATTTTTCACCATAATCTTTTCTATTTACCAGTGTTCATTTGTGGTGGGGTTCTTGTGTTAGCTGAGTTTCTGAAGAACATGGAGTGTATAATCCGTGCCATTTTCTGAATTATAACTTCTAGATCATCCTACATTTGACCAGAGAGAGATAAGGATATACCTGAATTCCTTTCTGTGGTATTTGCCTTGAAAAAGATATGAGTTTTCATTCCTGCTGTCCCTTGTCTTCTTGGTAATACTCTGTTTAATTCCCAGAATAGATGTAGTATAGTTTGTGTAAAACCCATGTAGTTCTGATTCATCCCTTGAGAAGCATTCAAGTTGCTCTCTGCAGTGTTCCTGTTAAGAACATGCTGTTGTTGTATATGAACTGTGCCATGGATGTAAAGCAAGACTTATACTATCTCCTTGTAATTTATATATGCAAGCATTTAGAACCTTATTGCTCACAGTGTACACATTGTATATGTATTTCTATATATATTTTGAAGAAAAACTAAATAATATTAGTTATATGCACCTGTGATATCTCCAGTCTAATTTCTAACTGAATCTTAAACCTTCAGAACAACTTGAGCAGCCACAATTGGTGAGTAATGCAAGAAAAACTCTTTCCCTGAGGGGCAATGCATATTGCTGTCAAAACTTTTGCTCAAGTTTCTATGTATGTAGCACTTTTCTTAATGCCCTAGTTCCATGTCATTATGTGAGATTATAAGCATTTATTTTTTTCCTATTTCTCTTTTTCCAAACAAAACTAAATTTATTATTCCGTTTAAAAGTTTCAAATTAATAAAATGAATTGCAGGTCTACTAGATTATGCCATATTATCTGGGATGGTAGTACCTAACCAGGATGCTGGGAGAAAGCATCTTTGCTCTAACTCATGATGTTTTTTGTTCAGGTAGGGATCTTTTTTCCAAACTGAGGTGTGCTTTTTTTTTTCTCAATTAGGAAAGACCTAGCTAATACGTAGTAGCTCAGTTACAACATTTTAATTGAATGTGTCTTCTAAAAGAGACATAGTTTATTTAAGAATGATGGTTTCTTCTTGGTCTGTATACTAGAATTGATTGGAGATTTTCTTGGAGTCCCATGATAACAGTAGTGTGAGTGTTTCACTTGAGAGTTCAAATCAAATGTTATTTTAAAGCTATAAGACCAGGGAAGGAAATCAATAATTAACATAAATGTTTCCAGTATATTTTGCTAGTGGACATCCTATCAGAACTAAATACTTAAATTGTTAAGATATTGTTTAGTTGCATTGTTTTCTTGAGAATCACATACAATTAAAAAACCAAAACACTCAGTTGGCTGTTTTTTGAAGAGGAATTTCTGTTTTGTGTGGGTCAGGTAAAAACAAACAAGACAATTTAACTTGTGCCTTGCTACTGTGCTCCAGAGAGCATAAAGCGTAGTTGAATTTCCATGGTTCATTCAATCTTTGGCTTCCTTGCTGAGATTTCTTAAAGACAGATACTGTGATTTGAAAGGGTTCACCTCATTTGTGTGGGATTTTGTTTTACTTAAGATAATAAAAACTTTCAGTTCAATCTTGGCTCAGACTAGTAGAATGTCACTAAAGTAATTTTTATTGTCTTCCTCCTCTCTACTTCAAATGACACATGTTCACTTTATTGGTAAAAGAGGTATATTTACCAGATTAGAAATTCTGAAAAGAACTTTTCCTGTAAATGAATGTTTTGTTTTACATGCTTCCAAAAATATGAAGCCTTTTGAGCAGCTACCTCATTTGTTTCTTCCATCCTCTACATCATCTAGGATAAAGCATATATAATAAAGGAAAAGTAATCAGATAGGAGATGTTGCGGGTCATGTACACAGTGTATTTAAATATTTTAAATAAAAATCTAATGTTGGTCTGGCATTAAAATTTTCTGGTTGGGCAGCATAATTTTTAACTGGGAATCTTGATAGCAGTGGCTAAAATCTCTAGGCCTGGGTCAATAGAAATCTGTATTTCATTCTGTCAGGTATCAGCCTTGATACTTGCAGGCTCCCAGTTATAGCATACTCTGCTCATATGATTTGTAGAAGGTATAGGGGGGATTTTCTTCAGTTAGAGTTTTAGAATTTCATTATTCTTAATATCCAAACCAGATAAGTAACATGTATTCTCTCAAAAGTGTTAGTGAATTCAGCATGTAACATATGTGCCAGATTGGTAATATACTGAGAAAGAAGTGAACATAGCAAGTTTAAAATGCCATGATTAAGTGTCATTTATTCCAGAAATTAGAGTCTGTGTCTTTGTCCTCTAGAGGTGTCTCAGAGAGTCAAATTGATGTCTTGCATGTACTGCTAACTGATTGTGTGGAAATTTTTTTAAGTTCACTTTTTCTTTATTCTTCTGTCTTTTTTACCCATCTTCCCCCATTGTAGCAAATTAGACGGCCGGATGAAAGCAAAGGAGTTGCTAGTAGAGTTGGATCCCTCAAAGTAAATATGTTTCTAACATTTATTTTGCAAGTTTTCTTCTATAGCCTACACTTTTCCTTTTGAAGGGGGAGGTGTGGGGAGGGAGGGAAGGGGCTTTTCCATTTCTCACCATCACATCATTTTTATTTCAGTATTCTTATTGCTGTTGGGTCACATTTTGTTTGTTTCTGTGCTACACATAGAACAACGTATTGAAGGCAGGCTGCCAGTTAAGTAGCTTTGAATGTCACTAGAAGTAAGAGACAGTAACAACCTTTTTAAAGTGTCTGTAATTTAGTGATCATGATTAAATCACTTCTCTGATCTCCTTATTACATGGAGAAGTGATTTACTCATCTTCAAACTACTGCTTCCCATCTTGAAACACAATTAAACTTGTAGAGTGTTCACACACTTTTTGTGTTTAATTCTGTGAAAGACTGTTACAAGAGAGTTGAATATTTCATATATATATATATAGACTTTAAATTAGAAAAAAAATCAAAGTAGATAAAGATCAAATGAAAGATATTCACAGGAGACTAATAAGAATGGAGCCACTGTTTTGCTGATAGTTAGTAACTTCTGCCTTTTAATGTTTATATAAACATACACAAATATTTTGATTGCTTAACAGAACAGGCAGATATCTAAATCAGTACCTACCATACACAATATTGCACCCTCATAAATGGTTTTGCACCAAGACTCTGATCATATGCAGTCCAAGCCATTTTGATCTCAAGAGTTGCCTCTATTTCAGCTATCCAATTTTTCATTTTTTTTCCTACTTTATTTCCTTTTAGCACCTTCTCAACCACTAATTATTTATTTTTTCTTCTGCATTCTCCTTGCTTTTCCTGTCTTCTTGGTTTATGATCTTTTGTTTTGGTTTTGTATGTAAGTGTATTGCATTTGTTCCAGGACAAGCCATCCTCTCTGTTCTCTAACACTGTTCTGCAGCTGCTCTTTGTGAAAAGGTTATTTCACTGAGCACAAAGAAGGGGAGGGAAAGGATTAATTATGCACCTCTTTCTGGTAATGCCTCCATTTAAAATGATCTTAGCATAGAAAAAGAAGCCAGTTGCTGCTTGTTTATACAAGTTCTAGCTAGAGGCATCTGTAGCATTCCTCACTGTCTGTGAGGCTTTATCTTTTCATCTTGTGTTTTGGGAAGATGTTTTAATTACAGCGTAGATGAGAGGAGCAGTGTACATGAATGAGGTTCTGTTTCAGAGCCTGTTTCATCCAGGACCACTGAATTTACATGGATATAAATACGAGACAGCCACGAGTTTCTGTGCTGTTTTGGAAAGTTCTGTTCATGACCTGTGTGCATTTTAAGGCATGGGTCATGACATACAAATCTAGCTGCATAATGCATGCACATATGCAGAAGATGTAGATTATTTAGATGGTGGGTTTCTCCAGTTATTATGAAGACCCATTGATAGCTCATTTTGGATTAATATTTCTTAATCAGATTTAATTCCATGGCCTAAAATGTATGTGTAGACAGAACATCTTCCTTATAGAAAATGGGAAATCCTAATTGGGGTTCCCAAACATGAAAATTTACCTCTAAAAATTATTTTTATGGAAATAACTTCTAGAACACAGCCTTACTAATAAATAAGCAAATAAATAAATAAATAGATGAATCAACAATGTAGCAGAGATTCAGTAGCTTTAGAATTATAGTTCCCTTGATTTTTCTTTTTTTTTCATATAGTGAAAAAGAGCCATGTTAAGCAAAGGTATCTTGCTTCCAGATTCTAAGTTTACTGAGCCTTGTATGTCTGTGTTGTTCAAAGCACTTTGATGTCTTGAAATGTTTTGGCAGAGGCAGTGAGAAATGCATTATGCTATGGTTTTTTAAAAAGAAAGAAAAATACAAAAACAAAGAGCAAAAGAAAAACGAAGGAAAAAAAGCTGTGACAGGAGAACAGGTTGCTTTTTCAATTCATTTTCTGATGTTTGCATGTAGCTCCATCGAAAGCTGGAGGAGCTCAGAGATCACCCAGAAGCAAAGTCAAAGGATGCTCTCTCTGAGTAAATGTACGATTTCACTCGGTGATCTGATTTTTTTTTTTTAAACTTCTGCTGGCTGGTAACACCAAACCTGATTGGTTTGTCCTCTCATCCCCATCTTTTTCCTTTCTCTTTCTATTTCTTCCTTTGTGTTTTCTTTCTTTTCTAGCTGGGGTTTCATTTTAATGTATATGAGAAACCTAACCTGATTGACAGAGTTTGTTGTAAAGAATATCCTACTGCATTTTAATTAATGCTAATCAAACTGCTTGACTTTACAGAAACTAAAAAAAATCCCTTTCCAAAATCAAAGTTGCATATCTAAAAGTTTCCTGAATATTAGCAATGAATAGAACAGATACCCTTAATTTAAAGAATAAAAATACCTTCTGCCAGTGATTGATAGTCTTACCTGAACCAAAAGCTATGGCTGATACAAGGTAACCCAAAAGCATATAGGTTCACATGTACCTCTGTCTCTGCCATCAATCTTTTTGGGTCCCTGTTTTATCTCACAAAATAGGTCAATATTTGGTTGAATGACAGCTATGCAAATTTTGTTGCCTGTTTTTTTTAGAAGACTAATGCAAAAAATACGGCTGCAGATTTCTTCTGTGTTGCATTTGTTCTTTAATGAAAAAAAGTTGTGAAAAAAGAATTAGGCTCTAGTGTATCAGTCATGACACCCTATAAAGTCACCCAATATTCACACAAATACTAAATAAAGCAAGTCAAATCCAACATGAAAATACAGATAGCAGTACCTCTTGTTTAGTAGTTCACCTCATAAATTAAGAATAGCTTTTCAGCAATTTTATATAGAAGTGTCTTTAAGCCACGTCATTTTCCATAAAATGAAAATTAGGAAAAAGTTCGTAGCAGAGTGAAAGTTAATAATACTTTATCCCTCTGCACATCCATCCACTGAAGGGTCTCTCAGTAACTTCTTTAGATTCATGTCCTCTTTGTCTTCCATACTCTGTGATTGTTGTCATTCTCAGCACTACCTTTCTAATGCATAATCCACTTTGATTATACAGTGCAAGATAATTTTTGAAATGAAATTGATTAGATAATTTTTGCCCCTTTTGGGTGCTTTTGCATATACAGTTTTGTATTTGACATACAGTTGATTACTGCTTATTTTCGAGTAGAAATTCTTGAGTTTATAATCTTTTGCATGTCAAATACAAGAAAATTGAATTGCTAATATTTTTCAGTTTCCTGTAAAATAAATTTGATTAAAGGACAGTATCTTTTTCCTGGAAAAACTTTTAGGAATCAAGTTTTGGGGGGAATAAACTGTGACATATTTTAGATTTGGTGATAACTTACAATCAAGACAAAGTGATTTTAAACTTTTTATTCTTAAATTCTTCTTTAGTACTTAAAAATAAATGTAAAGCCAGAAAAAAAATATGGCACGAAACATGGTGCTACAAAAAAGATGTTCTAATCATACATTATTTCACAGAATGTCACCTGGGGAAAGATTCCAAACTAAAAGCTGAGACTACATTAGCCATGGCAGCATGACAATATGAGTTGTCATGAAATTGTCCTGTTCCTCTGCCACTTTATCTGTTATTTCATGACCATACCCTCCATGATGGAAGTGAGTCACTTAGTAAGGAATGTAAGTAAGTAAATAAAGAAATATTCCATATATTCTGCATATGCCTTTATGTTTCCTAAAACAAGCAGAACACTCTCCTAAAATTTGCTGCTTTTTCACTGCTGCTCTGATTCATGCAGTAATAGTGGATGTTCTAGATAAGAGCATTTTAAAAGACAATATACAAATGATTGATCAAAGAGAAAAAAATAGAAAACAATTGGAGAAAAACAAAATAAGGGATCTTTAAATAGTTCATTTTAAAAATAATTTTCATTTTTTCCATACTGCTTTTGGAAAGGGTTTTAGATGTAGGTTTTTGATACTCCTTCAATGTGGCAAAAGTATTGAATGGTATGGGAGGGGGAGCATGTAGTATCTGATGGCCAGCCCCATAAGTGAAAATTAAATACCATTAAGGTGGAACCTTTATGCCAGAATGAATTGCAAAGACATTCTTTCCAGATTAAAATTCAAAGGCCATTGGAAATATGTAGGAAACACTGGAATTCTGCAGAATATCACAGATGGCACCAAAAGTTTAGAAAGCTTGCCAGATATCTGAAATAAAATTGCACTGAAAGCATGCATGAAAAATTAATAAATAATTGATTGGGAATTTTAGGGGTTTAGTAGTTTTGTTTTAATATCAGCAGTGATGCATAGCCATTTACAAGGAAGTTATGCTGACCTAAGGTTTGAGTTTGTATTTCTTCTTGAGAAGTTCATTCATCTTACAGTTCTTCTCATGACTTAATATTTTGAGACCTTGCAGCAACCAGTTTGACATTGAACTGGTTAGAAAACTTAGTGTTCTGTCACTTGGTAGCATTTCCCCAGTGCTGAAATTAACATGGCAGTAGCAAGTAAGTGCAATTGTTACTGACATGATCAGTGGGAAAGAATTGACTTGGTTATATTTTATAACTCATAATACCACCCAAAATTGATACTCTTGTGGAAGTGTGGAATTACTCTGAAATTCAACAGAACAGTACTGCTTCAATCTGTGCTTTGAAGATTTTTTTAACATCTTTCGGCTTTTTGAGTTTTTTAGTTTGGTTTTTTTTTTTAGTTTTGGTTTTGGTGGGTTTTTGTAATTGTACAGGCTGCAAATTTTAATTACAAGTTTAATTTCTGCAGAAAAATATTATGGAAAGCCCATGATGAAAAAAGTTATATTCAAGTTCAGAGTTCCCAAGTAATATGCCATTTTTTTTGTGGCTTTTAACCAGTAAGGTTCCAAATCAAAGATTCTGGTTTTTTTAAGGAAAACTGTTCTCAGAATTCATAGCAGTGGCCAAACACTTTCAATAGATTATGTTAAAAGGAGCTGGGATTCTAAATTTCATACAGATCTGTGTGTCTCAGAGCC